AAAGATTGAAATTTTGACTCCGGAAGTGTGAATCAACAATAACACAAAGCTCTACTCGAATGTAGGACCTACGTTCTTCAAGTTTTATGTGTCGGGGGACGCAAAATTTTATTTTATTTTTTTTAAAAGGGGGGCAGAAGCGGGTATGGGGTGGGGGCCAAGAAGAGAGGGGAAGGTTAAAAAAAATGGAGGATGAATCGATGAAGAAGACGGAAGGGATTTAAAAAATGTATGTATAGCGCCAGGTATTGTGGCGTTATACCTGTGTCGTGTCAGCTTTTACAGTATAGCGCCACAATACCTGGTGCTATACATTAACAGTGTTGTTACTGTTAATGTATAGCGCCAGGTATTGCGGTGCTATATATAAAAATATAACTTTTTTTCCCACCTATTTGTGTACTTTAAGTTCAAAAAAATCACATTTTGGTTCCGGACTTGATCTAGGGTTCTTCAAAATCTCAATGTCGATCGATTGATGTATATCACAAAATCTAACAGCCTTCTAGGTGGCCAACGAGGTACCTGCTCCTACATATGGGGCGACTATTACAAAATTATTTGAGTTTCTAATTAATTACAACCAGTATTGATAATGAGTTTGAAGGTCATGGAATGAGTTCTCCCACCTAATATGCTAGTCTTTTGAATTGGATTCTCTGCATCACTCTATAACAACAGTAGTATAAAGTGATTCAGTTTCTAATGTACTCTATTTATGCAATGACGAGGAATTCCACTGGTTGATTGGCAAGCAATTAACTACAAGTGAGATGAGTAGCTTGAAAATGAGGCAAAATGACAGCTGAATTGTATGTTAACAGTTTTTGCCAATCAAAACATAAACGGTTGTTTGTGCCACAGAAAGCGAAGAAGATGGGAAAACTGAATAGCCAACATAAGTGGCAACTATTTACAAAGAAAAGTTACATTAATGCTCACACATTCCTTCTTTTATGGCGGGGCAAGAGGGCACGTAATTTTAGAATGAGTATGTTCTTGTGAAGGCCTTTTTTAAAGCTCTCCAGCTTAGAGATCGAGTCCTTAAGAGAGCCAAAGGTGGTGCAGAGGCTCTAAATCTGTGCCGAGAAGGTGGGGTTGATGAAGAATCTGAAGCTGTTTCCGATTCTTGCATTACACCAGCCTTGTCCTCAGCATTCCAGAAACGAGCTGCTTTTCTTTTGCTTCTTACTGTGGTTAGCACGTCATACTTGTTGCATATTCCCCATACTGTCACCTTCTGTTGTTCGAAATCCACGTTCACTGAGTATATCCCTGTAGTTTGATAGTATATCACTGCTATTAGTACAAGTTTAAAGAGTAACTATGCCAAAAGTAAGTCGATGCAAAGTACCACAAAATCCATCATAAATGGGCTAAATTCAAGTGGAAGACAGTGAGTATATTAGACTGATCTGCAAATAACTTCTATTTCTATCGCCAAGAAATATTCCATACCATTGTAATTTTCGAATTATCTATGTCTCACACATAGAAAATAAAAGAAATGAAAAATGAATGAGCATAGAACTCGACCAAATGGCATTACATAATTCAGGCCAGGTCATGAACATGTTACATAGTCACAGGCACAGAGATTACACACAGTAATTCCTTTAAAGAAAGCCCATTTCTCTATCTTATTGGCCCTTGTTGCTTAAATCCACTGACCCAAAACATATTTGGTTGGGTATTTTCCTCTATTTGGCCCGTACATTTGGAAAACTCCATGCAAGTGTTATTCAAGAAGAGACTTAAAAACAGACAAATCAGACCTCTAAAAAAAATGACATCTTAAGATCATTAAGAACTTATTTGTGAATTTTAAATGAAACTTTACTATATATATATATTAAAAAAAAAGTTATACTAATGCATTGTTGTGTTTACCTTTGATATGGGAAAGAGCTTTCTTGACTTTTCTCTCACAACCATAAGAGTAGAGAGGCACCATCATTTCCACATACTGAGGTTCTACATTTCTGCCAGCCGGTACTATCTGCATGTCCGCCATCCCCAAATTCGAAGTAACTCTAGTTCTTGTGTTATATATATAGTACTATGTAATAATAGAAGTTGAGGTTGCATTTGGCCGATAATGAGTTATATATAGTGCATTTAGAGAGTATATTGTGACATTGATGACGACGATCTCTGTTAATCCAAAATCAAAAGCAGCAGACAAGACACGCTAGATTCTTTCTAAAAAAGTTGGATGAAAGAGCTAGCATCACTTTTACTTTTCGCTTTTACATTCTTAATTGACATATTCTGTCCAAATTAATCCTATTTCTTAGCATTGTTGTTTAAGGTTGGCTGCTGAAAGTCATATAGAAGCTATAGCTCCAGAGGCTTCTATTTTGGTTCTCCGAATAGATGAAATTTTCTTTAAAAAATACGTGGATTGTGACTAGGACAAGTGAAAAAGAGTAGTGGCATCAACTCATATCATGTTCCTAAGTCAATCAAGAAAGATAAAGTGGTGGTTTTGCATGCAATATGTTGCATTATCTTCTTTTCGCGGGATTGGATAATTCAGTTACTTTGTTCATAACCCATGTGGCCTGCATTACTTAGCATGTAAGTTGTCTTTCAAAATTCCAAAGATTATATTGTTAGTTAAGGATTTAAAAGTGTTTTTGGAAGCATAACTACGAAAGTTATTGTTTAGTATAACTTTGTGGTTGCTCGTTGATGTAGATAGAGAAGTTATGATTTTAATTCGTAAAATAAGTGAACCAACGTAAGAGATCGATTAATTTTGTCTCACCTAACTGAGAAGGATTAATAAAATGAAACGATAGTGAATGGAGTCTTAGTATTTATGTGCTAGGATCACAACAAGTAAGGTGTCATGCGGAAGTTCGTGAAGTAATAATTGAACGACAATAAATCAGACAACAAAAGAGAAATATCAAAAGAAACACAAATATTTAACGTGGTTCGGTCAACTGACCTACGTCCATCGCGGAGATGAGCAATCCACTATATAAGAGAACACAAAATATTGAGAGAACAACCTCACGAAGAGGCAAACACAAGTGACACACTAACACTTGTCCCGTAAAGTTCTCCCACTAAACATGTCACGGCCTGGATTTCTCACCCTCGAGAATCGTGATGGCGCCTACTAGTGAAAGCTAGGCAAGCCAATTGTTCCAATTACTTAACCTTTTTCATTCTTATAATCCTTTCACAATGGTGAACAAACATCATATAAACAGCGAAAATATAAAGCGAAAAACTGAGACGTAACAATTTAATAATGATATCAATGTCAATCCATAACATAAGCTACCCAGAACTGGTGTCACAATATCACAGACTATCTAGGAATACTACAAATAAGAGTCCGAAAGATAAATACAACGTTGTCTCTGAAATAATTAAAAGAAACAGAATGGAAAGATAGAAGGAGATGTCAAGGCCTGCGGATATCTGCAGGACTACCTCGGGTCGCCTAAATGGACTAAAGGCAGCAACCTCACTGTGGTCTAAAAGTTGCAGCACCGAGATCTGCACACAGTGCAGAGTGTAGTATCAACACAACCGACCCCATGTGCTGGTAAGTGCCTAGCCTAACCTCGGCGAAGTAGTGACGAGACTAGGACCAGACTACCAAATAAACTTGTGCAGTTAAATCACATACAGCGGAAAAATAAAAGCAGATATTTACAGTTAAATATGGGAGGGGGAAAGCATGTTGCGGAGAGTATCAAACAACAACAGAATACCAAAGCGGAATGTAAAGAAACCACAATTCAATTGCCAACAAGAATAAGGAAAATCAGAAACAAGTGCACGACATCACCCTTCGTGCTTTTACTCTCATTCTCACCATAAGAATCAATATACACTTTCATTCTTTCTTGTTGCGACGTGTAACCCGATCCCAAATCATATAATACCGTTGCGGCATGCAACCCGATCCCATTTCATATAATATCGTTGCGGCGTGCAACCCGATACCATTTTATATAATACCGTTGCGGCGTGCAACCCGATCCCATTTACAATTCAACATCAATCATAAAAGAATCCCGGCAAGGGAACAAGAGTATAACAACAACATTTCGGCAAGGGAAACAATATCATAAACAATAACATCCCAGCAAGGGAGATAATATCATAAACAATAATATCCCGGCAAGGGAACCAATAATGGTAATCATCATATTAAGCATGAATAAATCACAACGGAGTCGCAACAATTACAATACAAGACTCACGGGCACGCTTGACACCGACGTATATATACTCGTCACCATGCCTATACGTTGTACTCCATAATTAACACATAGCAAATAAGACACAACTCTTAATCCCTCAAGCTAAGGTTAGACCAAACACTTACCTCGATGCCACGAACACAATTCAAGCCTCAACTACCGTTTTACCTCTTTTTTTCACCACCAATTTGCTTATATCTAGCCATAATTTACTTAATGATATCAATAAATGCTAAATGAATAAATTCTAATGCATGAAAATAGGTTTTCCAATGATTTTCCCAAAAAGTCAAAAATTGACCCCGGACCACATGGTCAAAACCCGACGTTCGAACCAAAACCCGATTACCCATTCACCCACGAACCCAAATATATAATTTATTTTGAAATCAGACCTAAAATCGAGGTCCAAATCCCCAAAATTTAAAAATTCTAAGTTCTACCCAAATCACCCAATTTCCCCCATGAAAACCCTTGATTTTGGATTGAAATCATGTGAAAAGGTGTTATAGATTAAAGAAAATGAGTTGGAAATGACTTACAAACGATTTGGACAAGAGCGTTTCTTTAGAAAATCGCCCAAGAGAGTTTAGGTTTTGAGAAAGTTTGAAAAATGAAAAGTTTTCGGCTAAGTTATGATTTAGCAGGTCATAGATATCGCAATTGCGAACTCCTTCAGGACCTGCTATTTTCGCATTTGCGATCAGATGTTCGCAATTGCGAACTCGCAATTGCGAAGGGATTGTCGCATTTGTGACAGCTAGGGATTTCTGAGGTATTCGTATTTGCGAAGAAATTCTCGCAATTGCGAGCAAGGCTGGCCAGGGCTTACTTCACAATTGCGAAGAGCCCCTTGCAATTCCCAAGTTCACAAACTTCGCATTTGTGATCCCCTGATCTCACAATTGCGAGATCAGAAGCCAGCACCAGACCTGCAACCTGCAACTATTTTCCCTAAGCCTAAATTCACTCCGTGCCTATTCAAAACTCATCCGAGCCCTCGGGGCTCCAAACCAAACATGCACGCAAGCCTAAAACCATCATACGGACTTGCTCGTGCGATCAAATCATCAAAATAACATCAACAACTATGAATTAAACCTCAAATTCATGAAATCACTCAAGAACATCAAATTTTCCAATTTCTCAAGTTTAGGTCCATTTTATACCAAACCAACTCCGATCTTTACCAAATTTTACAGATTTATCTTAATTATTATTTTAAACTTGTATCGGGCTCCGGAACCAAGATACGGGCCCGATACCATCAAGAAAATGCATCAACTCGCTTCTAAAAACCTTTATATTTTTCAGAAAATAATTTCTTCAAAAGTTTATTTCTCGGGTTTGGGACCTCGGAATTCGATTTCGGGCGTACGCCCAATTCCCAAATTTTAATACGGATTCTACGAGAACGTTGGATCACGAGTCCGGGTCCGTTTACCAAGAATGTTGACCAAAGTCAACTTTATTCAATTTTATAAGTCAATTTTCATATTTTTCTTAGTTTTCACATAAAAGTTTTTCGGGAACGCGCCCGGACTGTGCACGCAAATCGAGGTGAGACAAAAAAGATTTTTAAGGCCTCGGAACATAGAATTTATTTCCAAAACAAGTGATGACCTTTTGGGTCTTCACAAAATATGACTCTCAAACCTCATATGGCTACATTGTGGATGCTATTGAATGAGAAGGAAGAATCCTCAATTTATAGAAGTCCAAACCTTTTCCTACAAGAAAAAGGACTAGTCAAATATAAGAGAATTATAATTTCCTTCTATAAAAAGGAAAACCCAATTATGGTAAATATATTTCAAAAGATATGAAAACCAAATATGATAAGAAAAACAGGACAACACCGAACATTATGTTTATACCAAACTAAAATTTAATTTGTTGACAGAGAAAGGATTATTATAGAACAAAAGGTAATAATCGGAGACATATTTTTCTTTTTCAAACTTTACCATTTCTATTTTTTATATTTTTTGGCTGAGAGGGTGGCGAATACTGAATAGTGAGGGAACCAAAAATAAAAGTGAAAGTGATGCCCCAAAAGGATTTGCTAAATTCCTTTTACTGTCATAGAAAGGTGGTTGCGCTTTTGAATAAGCCCATGGCAATACCTGATGCCAAAGTAGTCTTTTCCTGGATTAACCTAAAGGAATAAGGCTGCACTTTCTTTTATCCCGTTTCGAGTTTCTAGGTCACTATCTAATAAACTTCTTTTAAATTTCATCCACAAAGCATCCCCATACATTGAGTGTTCTCATTAATAATTACTCCACCTCTAAAAGGCAGCCCGTTGCACAAGGTATTTTGTGTTCACGTCGGATCCGGAGAAAGATCGTATCCCAAGAAGTATGATGTAGATAGCTTATCTCAATGTAAACATTAGTAGCTGCTTCCACGGCTCAAACCCATAACCTATAAATTTCACGAAAACACAACTTTACTATTGCTCCAAGACCCTTTCAAAATAATTACTCGACTTCTGATTTAGAATTATCAAGCTTGGTTAAACAGCCAACAGACTTTGACAAGCAGCAGCTACTACAGAAGTAAGGCCAATGTTGGTTGATTTGGTTGTTAACCAATTGATATGGATCTCCTTATCCTCAAGTTCACTTAGGCCTATATAGTACTTAACTATTGGTCCTTAGCTTGCTGCATGATTTAAAGTTGCAGTAATATTGGAATAGAAACACAACAGGACAAACCCCTACCCCTGCTTATTTAAAATGACAAAGACAAGAATTTGAGTTAATAAAGCATGTTCTTCTTTTAATCAAATGAGGGCTGATCGTATTAAAGCGACTTCTTACAGATTCCCTTCACATGATCCC